TGAGATTTGAACAGCCGAACTGCAGAACTGCAGTCAGCTGAAGTAGCCTGCAGTGCTGCATTTAACCACTGCGCCACCTCGGCTCTTCTAAAGTGAGTCACAGCACGTGTTAAGTTAGCGATATGGTCATTAAGTGAATCTGGCTTCCCTACTGACTTTGCTTCTCAGAATTTCACAAAAGGTTGATCGCATGACCTGGGAATGTTACGGCCGTCATAAATATGAATCAGTTGCCAAGGCTCTGAATTTTGATCGCAGAACCATGGGGACGCTGCAACGGTCATAAGTGTGGAAAACGGTCCTAAGTCAATTTTTCAGTGCTGTCGTAACTTTGAACAGTTACTAAATGAACTCTTGTATGTTGAGGAGTATTTGAACACCCTTTGTTCCTATTGCTGTTCCTTTGATCTGAAAACTTTCTTCCCGTTTGAGAAACAATTTCTTCTACATTTTTCTTGGTGGAAAAAAAAAATTGTGGGATTTAGACTTGACAATTTCCAAAGATTAACAACGAGGTGTAAACTGGTTTGGTTAAGAGGAAGCAGATAATGAAGGTATGTCTTGTTCTCCTGCTGAATGTATCCTAATTGTTAGAAGCATAATTACCTGTGTTGAATATGGAAGGACTGCGACAGGCACACCCAGAGAGAGAGAGAAAAAAAACAGGGACTAGCTCCTTGCTCAGAAGCTCAAATAAGCACTCAGCTTCCATTATACATTGGGCAGGAGAGCCGGTTTCCTCAACGCAAAGCAGCCGGAAATCCTACAGGTGCAAACTCTTCCTTCCAGCGATACAGCCAAGGTAACTTCTTGGCGCCACCGTCAACAATCCCAATGTTACAGTTTCTAATAACTGGAAAAAAGAGCTTCTCAGATGTTTTACGGTGCTGAAAAGCATGGAATCTCTCCCCGAATCATCTTTCAAGGGAGATCAGCTGTGGATGGTGCAGGTTTTATTTTGGGCCTGAAAGAAGAGTTGGTTTTTCCAGAAAAGCTCATTGGAATTTTTTTTAAAGAAACCTGAAAGGTGAGGCTTTCTTTTTTTTTACTTATTTATAATTGATGTTAGGCCTGAACAGGCAGAGCAAGTACCAATAATTCCTTCCAGTCAATCAAACTCCTGGAAGAGGGGAACCATTAGCAACAGCATCTTACAGAAGAAAGATGAGCAGAAAAGAGACAGTAATCCTGCAATAACAAGGTTAAAATCCTTGTTATCCTTGTTTGCGTATCGGCTTACGGAAGGAGACACGGGGAAGCACGGGGAAGACGACACACTTCAGCTTGTGTGAAATCCGCTTTGTTTTTGCAACCCAAACAGCTTGCCTCCCTTTTATCAACCAGCTTTGGATGTGCATGTTTATTAACGTTTAGGAACCGAGGACATAGTTCGTAAACCAATGAAACTCATTATCTGTTACACCATCCAGGAAGTGAGATGCAGGAGTTTAGTCCTTTGGTATCACCCGTGGATGGCTGCATTCGTGTGAATTGCTGAATGCAATGCGCCTTGTGTTAGAAGGGGATTGCAAAGTGGGTTTCAAACAGTGAGATTTCTGCTTTCTGGACTTGGAAGTTTTTTTTTTTAAATACCAGGAAGCAGAGGTTTTGTTTTTTAAAGAAAGAAATAAGGCCAACTAGGTATGAAAAAAGACTCCTGGCCACACCCAAGAATTAATGCTATCAGAATCAGTTTCTCCACCTATACCGTTCTTAAGAAAGGGAAGAATTGGCACCACATCAGATCTATTCTGTCCTCGCAGCCAATTGTGTAGCAGGTTCCTGACAGCATAAAATGCTGCCGGGAGGTTTTCATCCAAGCTCTGGACGGAAGGCTGAAAGGTCACCTTAAGAGGAGGTCACCCCGCAGTCCAGGTATGAACTGGCACCAGGGCACCAGCGTCCAGCTGAGTGGGCTGGTCGTCTCCCTCTTCGGTTGGGTCTTGTCGTGCGTGACGACTTACGTGCCTCTCTGGAAGAGCCTCAACTTGGAATTAAACGACCTGGAGATCTGGAATATGGGACTGTGGCAGACCTGCATCAGCCAGGCGGTCCTTCAGTGCGAGAACTACGCTTCCCTCCTGGCCCTGCCTTTGGAGATCAAGATTTCCAGGGTGCTGATGGTGACTTCCAACGGGCTGGGCTTCCTGGCATTCGCCTTGGCTCTTTTGGGATCCGACTGCCTGAAGACAAGCGACCCCAGGCAGAAGAGACACTTTGGGATTACAGGCGGAATCCTCTTCTGCGTCTCCGGAGTGACCACTCTTGTTCCCATCTCCTGGGTGGCCTACAACACGGTGCAAGACTTCTGGGATCAAACCGTCCCGGACGTCGTCCCAAGGTGGGAATTTGGGGACGCCCTTTTCCTGGGATGGTTCGCTGCGTTTTTCCTCCTCCTGGGGGGCTGCCTTGTCATCGGCGCTGCCAGTTTCCTAAAGACCCCAAAGGCGTCTAAGAGGCCAGCCATCTGCCACAAAGCGGAGGTAGCCACGCTCGCCATCCAGCAGCTGCACTCCGCCCCCAAAAATGCGGACCTTGTCATCTGAGCACCTGGACCTTGCCTGGAATGGGATGATGGTTGGGGGGCACTTAAGAGTTGTGGTTGAGATCTCTGCCAAGGACAGCTTGGGAAATCACGCTGACAAGGGGACCACCCGTTTCCCGGCTGTGTGTTGTGTAGCTTGTTCTCCCTAAGCGCCACTTAGAAATGTATTCTTGAGTAATGTGCTGCCCGAGGAGGGTCGTTGGGGGGTCCTGTATCTACTCTTAGGCAGAAGACAACGCTTCCTCTCTTCCCTGCCCCCACCTTTAATCTTTTGGAGAAGAATGACGTAAAAACCACCCCGGTTTAATGACGGAAGGAATGTCGGTGGAGGATCGGATGTCTGCAGAATAAAGCTCCATTCAACAAGCATTGTTAGGCTTTAAAAAGCCATTAAGCACTTATAGAAATTGGAACCCTTTTACTTGGCATCAGAGGCAGATCAGCCATCCTGGGCAGAGACTTGGGGATACTCGGATAACAGTTTCAAGAGGGGCAGAAGAAAGCAATCCACAAGCCAAGGCACTGGGTGAGCTTCCATGGATGGATTCAGGAGCCAGCCCTGTCTTCTTCAGCCAACTCTCCTTTCGAATAGTCTTAGCGCTCCTTAAGGCAACTTTTCTCATCAACCGGGGACACAACAGCTGGATTGTTGTGCCACCATTTTTGATAGAAAGGTCACGTAGGAAGAGTTTGCAACTTCAACACAGTTCTAGAGTCGACCTTCTGCAATCGGAGGCATGCGCTGGCAGGACGCCAGCCTCTTTGTGGATCACAGCCAGAGGTGATGGAGCAATTTATTTATTCTCCGAATCTAAGGAAATTAAGGGGTTGTTGGGTTGTGTGTGTGTGAAGTTAACTGCCACGGGGGACATGCCTGGAGGCTTCAGAATGACCGCTGAAAATTAGCAGAAGTTGTCTGTAGTTTTCAGGGATTGAAACAAAACCACAAATATCTTTAAATAGGGTAATATTTATTGCACTTTGAAACCAGAAATCTCGTCAGATTTGTATTTCCCATCTCAATTTGTTAGCCTTCTAATAAAAACAGATTGCTTTAAAAGATCTTGAGGGGAAAAAAATATATAATCATTAAAAGTGTGACTTTATTCAGCTCGGTTTCGTCCTGACTTCAGTGCATCCTTTGCCAATTCTACCCTGGTAATTAAACTTCGGTGATTGACGTTCAAGAAATTATTTGGAGGAAGGTTCAAGGAAGCGGCTTCCAATCTCGGCCTTCTGCGGGTTCTGCAGTTCTGTCCTCCTCTTCCTCCTCCCCTGGCACAAATGCCAGTGCTTAAAACAGCAGCCGGGGCAACAGCTGCATGCCAAGCGGCTCACCCACAAGAATGGCTACCGAAGAGGGCAGAGGGACTGCTGACGCGCGAATTCTCTCACTGCGAGGAAACCTTGTTTACAATTAAGGTTCCTTCACCCAAAGCCTCCCTGTGTGTTATTTGACCCCCTGGGGATGACTTGACTTATGCCCAAATTTGCTGTACTTGAAGGTCAGCAAGGGTCAAGGGCCCCATGCCAGTATTGTCCATGCAGTCCTCCTCACAATTAATGGCAGCATTCACATCCTGGGAGGTCAACATGTGGGGCAGGTGCCTTTAAAAAGTCCACAGGGTCCGCCCACAATCCTCTCAAGAAACCCCTGGAACCTCTGGCCAGAGGAAGCGCCGGCGTGGCAAAATGGGGCTGTCTCTATACAAGGCTTAGTGTAAAATGGCAGATTCTTCCTAAAAAGGCTCCCCACAAATCTCCTTGCGGGAAGTCAAGTCAATAATTAGCAAGTGGGGGTTCCAAAATCCATAACCCTGCATGCAACTAGGACATGGCCAAGGCCCCCCACCCCAGCCCCCTCTTTCCTAGACATGCACAGCTGTTCAGGCGGAAGGTTGGAGTCCTCCAGTGCGGTCCCCCTCCCTCCCTCCCTCCCTCCGGGATCCTTCCCCAGAGTCCTCTGGCAACCGGATCCCACTCCTGGGGAGGAGGGGGTGGTTGAGGGGGCCTTGCAGGGCTCGAGCCGAGAGGGCTGGCCGCTCTTTTATTTCACGGCCACGGTGGAGGCCCGGTGGATGGACTCCATCACCGCTGCGAATCGGCTGCAGAGGTCGTAGGGCGAGTTGGGGCGGATCTTGGGGGGCTCCTTGAGAACGACGCCTTCCGGGGAGCAATCCAGCAGGCGGGGCAGGAACTCCCCCAGCTTCATCTGCAACTTCTCTGCAGGAGGAGGAGGAGGAGGAGGAGGAGAGAGAGAACGTTATGGACCACCGGCACCCTTGGCCCCTTCGAGGCAGCGTCTGCATAGCTTCTCCACGTAAGATGGGAGGAGGGATCTCTGCTCCTGGCAGGAGAGGGAGGGGGGTATGTTGCAGGCCCCTCTGGCAAAGAGCTTCACCTTTGGGCACCCCTGGCCTAGAGGGACTTGGAAGGAGGGTCTTTTCAGCCTCTGGGACCCCCCCTGCCTCCCTCCCTGCCAGCAACCTCGGAGATCCCGTGGGGAGCTTGTGAGGTGACTGTTTTTATTCTCCCACAATCTTGGTCTCCTTCACGCTTCCTGGGTTCCAATGGCCGTCGTATTGTTTTACTGGTGGCGGTTGTATGTTACCCAGACTTGTGTGTTTGGCGTGTTGGGCACCTACATAAATAAAGGGGGGGGGGGGAATACAGCAGTCGAAGGTTCCGGAGGACCTCATTTAGCTCTTTTTGTCCCCAAGAACCAGCCTTTCCCTCAGGCAGAGCCCCCTGCCTCTCTCGGCCCTGGGGTTTGAGAAAACGTGATGGGCTGCACTTTTGGTGGCTCTGCATGGCCACACGGCCAGCCGGCTGCCACCAAAACGGAGTAACCGGCCGTATCCTGGATGCGCGAAGGTGCGCCTTAACTCCTGCAGGCCAGGGAGAACGCCTGCTGCTGCAACGCCTCTCCAAGAAGCAAGCTCAGGCATGCCCCCCTCCCTCCACGGTGGAAGGCGTTGAAACTTGCTCTGCGCTTCACAAGCTTCTCCTCTTAAAGCCGCAGGTCCGAGATTTGAATCTGCCCCCCTGGGCAGATTCAAATCTCGGACCTGTGGCTTTAAGAGGAGAAGCTTGCCCAGGGGGGGGATCAAGGACACGGGACCCACCTCCAGGTCCTCCAACCTCCCATCAGCTTTGCAGGGTTGAGAGAGCTCGCAGAGAGGGCCCAGCGAGCCGCTTTCATCAAAGAAAACGTCTCCCGCTTTATTGGAAACTCCTTCCAGATGTTGCCCTTGAAGGGGGGGGGATGAAACCCTGATTTGCCTCTAAGTTTGTGTATTCCAAGTGTGCAAAACTAAAAAGCGGAGCCTCCTTATCTTTATTCTACTGCGCTGAAAAGGACACGGGAGGTTAACGCTTCTCTTTCTGTGGTTTCCTATTCACACATCGCTGCCTCCCCTCCTTCCTCATTGTCTTATTACTGTGACAGGGAGCCATTTCTGAGGGCCCTGTCAGCTCCTGTGTGCGTGCGCGCCCTGGCTGGCTGCTTTGCGGTCTTGATTTGGGGGCGTTTTTCACCCTCCTGAAGCCTCCGGGGGGGCGAAAAACCGCCCCACACGCAAACCGGAAGTCTGTCCCCCGGTTGGGCCGTTTTTCACCCTCCCCAGGCTCCGAGAAAGCCTCTGTAGGCAGGGGAGGGCGAAAGAGAGACCCCCTGGGCCCACCAGAAGTTGGAAAACGGGCCATTTCCATTCTCCAGAGGGCCTCTGCTCTCCCCAGGCTCCAAGAAAGCATCCATGCGTAGGGCAGCCCTGGGGGGGGGGGTGTTGTCATGGGCAGATGCACAGGGGGCATGGTGTGGGGGTGGGCATTAAATTGTGGGGGTGGGCATGCTTTTGGCACCCGGGGCAAGAATGTTTCCCCATCACTGTCCTATTATCATTATTTTTACTTGCATTTTGATAAGTTTAATAAAATTATATATATATACATACATACATACATACATACATACATACATACATACATACATACATACACACACATACACACACACACACACACACACACACACACACACACACATACATATTTGGCCATACCAGGGGTTGTGACACTAAATACATACCTATTTCCCTGGCTCAGCTGATAAAGGAGGAGAACCTTGTGGCTTAGTGGTTAAGACATCTGCCTAATATGT